TTTTTTTTAGGCTAAATCTTCGTTTCACTCTTGCTTTCAGTCGCCTTGATAGTTTCTGGGTTTTATGAGCAACAACTGTTCACCTGATTTAGCCGCCAACCAACATTACATTCACATTTCTGCATTCGACTTTATTGCGAAATGCAGCTTCTCGCCTGAACTTAATTAATTAAACAATGCAAATATAAAAAAAAAGACGAGACTTGGCAAAGGCGACGTAACTGAAGAGACAATGCATAAACAACAAAAACAAAAACAACAGCAATAAAAACTAGTCAACATCATAAAGAAAAAATATCCACGAAAATATTCACGCGCTAAAATCAAAACTAGAGCAGGAAAATAAGAAGAAGAAGGAGTAGAGAAGAAAAAGTAAAGTAAACAAAATATGTATTCAAAAGAAACACGAGGGTATCATAAATCGACTGAATGAGTAATTTGTGGTACATAGTAGAAGGGGGGTACATACATACATACATATGTATAGCTGTAAGCAGGCATCATGGAAGCTTATTTGCTTATCCGTCTCTCGACTGGCTATCCGTTCCGCCTACAAGTGGTCCATAATTAATTCTTTTTTGTTTATATAAAAGCAACAACAATTACTTTTGCTTCGTTCAGTCGCAGAAATAAAGTCGTTGAGCAAAGTGTAAAAGTGTTAAGTAGTGTTTCATGTTGAGACAAAACAATATTCTTTGAAACTAAATAGTAAAAAATTATAATTAGCGGAAGGCGCTTGCTGTAAAGTAAAAAAAGTTAAGCGGATAAAAACAAAGAATCGTACCAAAATTTTTATAACAAAATATTTATCGAAATTATTCATTTATTGCCGTTAAAAAAAAATGCAAGCAAATTTACCAATTTTATTGCTGCTATGTATCCTGAGTGGTCACAAAGTTTCGGCAGATTTACGTTATCGTGGCAATGCAGTGCATCCAGGTGTGTAAGAAAAGTAAAGGGAAAATAGAACACTTTCGGAGGCACTGTATCCGAGTCTAATTTAGCAAAATTTTTACCCTAACCATACGGGCTTATGCAAATTTCAAGTCTAGCGAGCTGAGTATGTGAAATCGATTTTATTTTCTCGCACACAATAGGAAGCAACACAAGCTCCCGAAAAGGCATGCGATGGAAGCAGAAATTCCTCCCATGCTTGTCAGAATATATTTATGTGCACTGAAGGGCGGGATCCAGGACCGCGTACAACAACAAACGCGGGAAATCTCAACGCCATCCAAGGCAATTAATACTTTCACTAACTCTCGTCCGGTCGCTGTGGTGTAGTGGTTAGCAGTGCAGTGTCCATACCATAAAAATTTCACGACAACGTCCGATCATTGTAGCAGCGTGACCGGCATCATTTTCGAAGAAGACTCTGCCAGCTCAGAAACCACACAAAACAGGGACTCATTGTGGTTGCATGCGGTTGTGGTTTAGGTGTCTTAAAAAATCGGCATCAACGTTTGGAACACTTTACGCGTTGTATCGCCTCATAACTAAGTTTATAGATAGTACAAATGGTCTGAAAAAAAATTAACATATCACCAATAATTCCTTTGAAAAATCTTCATCTGATAGCGTTTTGATGAGATAAAGAGCACTACATGCTTATCGAACTATTTTAGAGGCATCTGATGACTTATAGGCTCTCAGTTATGTCTGCCTGTTCTTATATTCAAAACGGTATATGGGCAACTGTGTTAACTGACCATTTGCCCTCAAAATACAAAACAAATCTTCTTACAATCTGCGCGCCCAGTTCAGTGCACTATTACTCTCAATGCGTTTCAAGATCATACATGCCTTTAGCATCCGAATCAAGCTTCAATTAACGAATAACTTCTCCACTTCATTTAATAATAAATTCCGACAAAAAGTTAGTAAAATTACATTTTTAACCGCCTTTATATTTCAGACTATCCCGGTCAATGCTACTACGAGGAACTCCGCCAGCCAATACCCAAGAATCAATCCTACAAACCGATTAATCGCGATGGACGCTGCGAATCGATTTACTGTCGCCAAGATTATGTAATCGAAATTGAATTGTAAGTATGCACGAGACTTTAATAAAAATTAAATTACCATGCAAAAAGTATTTGAAAATAAAAATACACGAGCTGTGTTATTCTTTCTACTTTTATCATTGCCATTTGCCGGTTGTATTACTATCGATAATAATTCAATAAAAATTATATGGCTATTTGCGGGGTGTGTCTGTCGCTGGGCAAAAAAAAAAAAAAAAAAAAAAAAACACGAAATTTCATTATCTTTTGCTTTTTATGCATTTACACATTCATTTATTCTGTGTATAAGTCAAATTAATGTTTGTTTTAATTTTCCATTCTCCTCTGCACCCCACAGCTGCGGCCGCCATAATCTCCAACCAAATGAGACCTGCCGCATCGAATCGGATATGCGGCGCGCATATCCAGCTTGCTGTCCGCGCTTAGTGTGTCAAACAGACAGCAATTTCATTTAATTTGTAATTGCGACTTAATTGTTGAAACTTAATTGTTTTAATTTCGAGAAATGGTCGTTGTTGTTGTAATTGTGTTAAGTAATTTGTCACGTTTATAGTAAAAATTAAAAAAAAAAAAATACGTAGCATCGTGCAGGTATTTTTTTTACATACATATGTACGTGCGTTGTTGGGAAAGAAGATAATTCTATGGAACACACAAGTAAAGTAAAAACTTAAAAGAAATTTCAAAATAGAAAGAGTTAAAAAAAAATCATTTTTTTTTTTTTCAAGCCTTAAGCTTATGAAAGAGAAAGAAATCGGAAAAAAATTAAGTTAAGTTTATAAATAAAAACCAAGATTTACAAAAAAATTAATTTAAATTAAAACTTATAAAGTTATTTTAGTGAATAAAGTTTTAAAAAATGTTTTTTATAATAAAAATATCAGAAAATATGTAAGTATGCATACATATAAGTATAGTTTTATAGAAATAGCAGCTATAACTTCTATCATGTGTGAATTATTGTTATTTTTCCGCATAATTTTTTCATCAAAAACGACCTCAAACTCAATAAAATTGTTGAATATAATTGTTATTAGGCCAAAAAAATTATAAAAACGAGAAACTTAACGACTTAAATTCTAAGAATTGAATTGAACTAACAGCCAACAACTATAAAAACCACATGATCAAGCCTAAACAGCAACAAAACCGTTATCTTTGGTTTTAGTTGGGTTAACGAATGAAAAAGTGGAAAAAAGCCACAACATTTTTCAATGGCGAACTCAGCTCAGTGCATAGATCATTGGCTTTAAACGCCAGAGTTGCTGGTACAAGTTCCAGTAAACTCGATGAAGAAGGCTGATGAGGAGAGATGGTGACCTCCAAAGTAGCAGCAAAATTATGGTTAATTTCCACAAAAAAATCCACTTAAATATGGCTTCAAGCTCAATAAAATTGCTGAATGATTATATTTTTTAAAGCTTCGACGAAAAAATAGTTCTAACATTTTAAGTTGTAAAATTTAAAAACAAAATGGAAAGTAAAAAATTAAAAAAATAAATTTTTTTTAGAGTTTAAAGCTTTGACGAATAGGAAGGAAAAACAAGGTAAACAAAAGTTTTGTGGAAATTCATCAATGAAAATTTGCGTTAAATAAAACTTAGTTTGTTCAAATTACAACATATAGCTTTAACGAACTTTTTATTTTCGTAGTAAAAAAAATGTTTAGAAAGTAAATACAAAAAACAACTGAAAAAATTATGTAATTTATAATATTTGTTTGGCAAATTTTAAAATCGTTAAGGAAAAATAACAAAAAATGTAAGAAATTTATTTAAAAAATATTTGTTTGCTAAAGTAAGTTATTTGGTTTAAAAAAATCTTGTTTAAGAAACCAAAATTTATTAAAAGCAGATAAAGTCAAAATGTAATTACAAAAAATTTTATGGGAAAAATTCAAAACAAAAATTTGAAAAATTAATTTTATGTGTATAACTTTTGCAAATGGTTTTTAAGAGAATTGATGGTAAAGAAAAATAAACAGAACTGTGAAAATTAAGAACAAAAAATTTTAAAATTTTTGTTTGACCTATGGTGGTGGTGTGGTGTATTAAAAAAGTTAAAAGTTTGAAGATAAAAAAATTAAACAGCATTGGGAAAAGTAAGAACAAAACAAAATGCAAATTTTGGTTTTTATAAAGCTTTTTAAAACAAATATTTTTTAATAGAATAAATTGTGTTTAAAAAGTAAACACTTGAAAATTAAAAATTTTAACCGAATTGTGTTTCTTTATATTTCAAAACAATTATTTTTAATAAGTAAAAATTTTAAAATAAAAAACTTAGGCAATACGTGTTTTCTAATTTTTTTGTTTCGACAAAATCGTCAGAACAAAAGTTGGTCAGAATACGCATGCATAGCAACCGTAGCATTAAACAGAATTGCGAAAAGTAAAGCATCGATTTGTACATTTTGACAGTAACAGAGTGGAGTTGTTTGTAATTTTTTTTGATTGAAATGTACTCATTCTCGTTAAAAACTTCTAGACATCACCACTCTGGGGCTGCCAAATTGTACAAATCGGTAAAAATTTACAAATCGTGTCATCCTTGCTTAAGAATAAAAAATAAAAATTTTTGTTTTTGATTTTTTTTCTAAAGATCTTTAAAATTTTTTCGCTTAGCTTCAGCAACCTTTTTTCTTCTTTTTTTTAAATTTTTTTTCTTCAAATGCAAATTATTCCATGCAAATATTTACATAGCTATACATATGTATGTATATTTGTATAGCTATAGCTACACCGCAAATGCAAATGTATACCCGCTTAATGGCTTCATAACGTGTTCGACGGTCGCAAATAAATATTTACCGTAATTAGCAAATTACATTTCCCCCCCTAAGTACTTATTCATATTTGCTTATCATTCATCGAACATTTAGTTAGTTGCACTAAGTTGATCGGCTACAACTGTTGATTGTTTCATTTCTTTTATTTTTAGTTTTAATTTTTCCTCTGTTATTTTTGTAAAGCCTATAAAGTTGGCTGTGAATTTGTTAAGCAAATCACTTGCAATTCAAACTTTCAGCAACGTGTCACGCATCATGAAACAGTACTTATTGCTATTGTGTTTGTTTGTGTGTCTGTGCGCCATCAGTGAAGCGAGTAAGTGAAAAAACTACCGCAAAATTGTTGTTATGCAGTTCGAAAAAAAAGTAAATAAAAATATTCTTGCCAACAGCATCCCCACAAGTTTGTGGCTACACCGCGCTCGATGGACATTTTGAATTTTTGAGATATTTCCCCGGCATCCAGGAAGGAGAGGATTATATCGATTACGGCAACAACAAGGATGGTGTTTGCTATCAGAGAGCAGTGTGCCTTGAGACCTATGAGACTAAAGTAGAATCGTAAGTAGGGATTTGTAGAGAGTGTTTAATCAGTGAAAGAAAATTTTGAATGGAGGCGGCGCTAATGCGATTTAAAAAAGGTCTACTGTAGATGTTGCCTCTCCGGTATTAAATTTTGGCTCAAACCTAAATCGGAAATGGGTCATCACATCTACAAGTTCGCCTTTGGGTTGCCCTTCTTTTCAACAAAATGATTGGAGCTGAGCCCGACTTAGGCCGAGGCGACGGAATGAGCGGCTGAGCGGCATTTCGGTATGGCGCCGCTCAGCCGCTCAGAATTTTCGCTTATTGCGTGGCCTCGACGTAAGTTCGTCAACCATTCCGTTTCTCCATGTTCGCTGACAAATATTAGAATCCTATAATGAGGCTAATATGTTTCAATTGGTCTTTCCAGAGCTGTGTCTTTCATTGCCCAAAGTGGGACCAGAAAGCTACAGTTTACCACAAGACAAAGCTAGACCCAATACAAGATGATGTCTCGTGAGATGCGAGAGTAGACTATTGCAACAGGAAAATAGTCTTAGGTAGTTAACGAAAACTCTGTTCAGAACACCGCGCAATGATTTTGGAGCTCTAGCGATGAAGAAGAGTCAGATTCCATACAAATCTTTCTGTGTGAATTTCAAGCCCCAGACAGTTTAG